GCGTTTTGAGTTTTCGACGACAAAGAATGTATAGGTATCGATTTCGCGCACGTCAGCGTTCCGAGTGACTAGGAAAGTATGACTATTGCTCTAGCGTCTTCAGCGTACACCCAGGTTTAAGCACTTCGCGGGTAGTTTTGAACTTTTCGCGGGCGGTCGCTGACTTGCGCTGATAACGCTGGATCGATTACTATACTTTCCTAGTCGCGGTACATTCAAAACACTGGCGCAAAGTATGAACGCACTCTTAGTTTTGAAGAAATTATGCTGCTAGCTATACTTCTGGGAAAGGCTAACGCTGAATATTCTCCACGGCTGCTAGTTGCCTGCCATGTGCTTGTTAGCTATTAGCATTTTCCATATCTTTGCTGAAATTGCTGCGAGAAGAGCGCGAGCGCGGTTTTTAATATTCCGTGCAAACGTGTGCGTTTCATGGCGGTGTTTTTCTCTCCAATCACTGTAAAGCTATTAGATTTATTTTGTAATATTTCTCGTTTACAGTGTGGAATGTCGCGGCGTTCACGTGTTTCCGATGAAATTGACGTTATATCGAGCAGTGATGACGAGATACCGTTGCCGCCTTCAAAACCACCCATAACAATACGTGGTGTTGGCCATATTACAATGTGAGACTTGTTATTGATTTTATTCTGCCATTTATTGTTATGTTCCAAGCGAAAACAATGACTAACCAGGAAGTGATTTCTACTTCCCATGGAACTTTTAATGCAAACCTAGGCATATTGGCAGAGTTTGAAATGCTCATTGAAATGTGGAAAGTGAAAATCATCTGCTTCTTACAGAAAGTTGTAAGCGGTGAAAGTTTAGTTTCGTGAGGGATCCCCGCATTTTCCAAAATAAAAGCTGGTATCAATCGGGTTGGAGTGGTGGAGCGCTTGTCACCAATCAACAACTAAAATCAATATCAAAACTAGTGGCTTTGGTGTTATGGTGGCGCCGCCAACTTGGGAGGAGGGGAGGGGGTGGAACATATGCGCACATGATTACTGTTGTGATTTATACATTTCTGTGAAGTTTATCTGCGAGAAAAGTGATGACGTATTTAAATAACCGGGGATAATCGTAGAAAATGCAGTAGGCCGATTCTCCTAATGACATTGGTTCACACAAAGTCTTTTTCATTGGATTCGTCATCGTCGGGATTTTGAATTTGCCTGATTCAACACAACAAATACTAATACATCCGCAGAAGTTTCTGGATTTCTCGGATTAGGGGGATTTGCGGGCGCCGACAAGTGCACTCTAATTCGATGACGCATAAGCTCTCAATAGGGGAGAAAGGTGAAGAAGAATGAAAAAGCTTTTGCGCCCCGTTATCCAATAAACGGGTTCTATATTTTCACATGAATGATTTATGGGAATGACGTTCAAGACTAAAGGGAGTGGTAACGTTTGCTGCACCTTTTTAAGCCCCCCCCCTGCTCATGTCTGAGCTTATATTTTCTAGAACCGATGAGTTAGTTGAAAGCGAATAAACGAGTAACATTGAGATAGGGAGGGGGGAGTGGAAAGGATAAAAACAATTAGGTAGCCCATCTTCAGTGTCGCACGTGCCCTTAGACGTTTGCCGTGCTGCCCAAGATTGATTAGATATTCTCGGGCAGTTCCGTAGAGGCTCATTTGAAGGACCCCTTGTGCATAACTAGAAGGATAATATGATACCTCCTTCACTCATCCCGGAGCTCCTTCGCTCCTAGGCATAGGCGATACTGCTCATCTCCAACACTCGCGGTTTTACTTGAGGAGTCCTGTGAGTACACCCCCCCCCTCAAGCAGCTTGCAGCTTATTTTCTCTTGTGGCTTTTCAATTACTGGTAACGGAATGCTGGAAGGCTTATCTTCCAGGAGCTCTGTATCAATACCCCTTGCTGATGAATGATGTTGATGTTGATCTATGGCGTGTTGCCTTCTGGAATATTTAAAGGGCATCGTCTGTCAGCCCTTTTTCCTAGGTAGTGCCTTAAAGAATTTCCATTGACGTAGAAGATCCTTTTGCCCTTTTCCCACCCGATGACTTCGAGTGGGGAGGTGAGGGGGGGGGGATCCTCGATGTATTGGAGCGCTTTCATGCGCAGATACCCCGACTGTATCAAATCAATATCGAATCCAGTCGAGCGACCCCGACAGGGAACGGTGCACCGCTCGGCGGTGGAGCGCATCGGTCAAGATCGCGCGATCGCGGAGTATGAACGCGCTCTCAAACCTGTACTTTCTCACTAGATTCATGATTTCAGCCTTGCCATTGTAGCTCTACCGACCTAATTGACAGTTTTTCTCACTAATAAGGAAAGAACCGAACTCATATATAAGTTCCATAACCCAAAGATGAGGAGGGCGTGGTGCGTACATGATAATGGCGTAGGATGCGTTTCACTGTGGGATATTTCCATTTGGGACCGCTGTATATTTATTTATTTATTTATTTGCTAGCACATAACATACACCATCGACAGCGAAAACACGACGGTTAGTAGCACACAAAACAAAGGAAGAACAAACGGAACCGAAGAAACAAACAAACCGCTAGATATATCAAACAAATGATGGGCATTCGATAAAAGGAAGTCGTACAAGCCGAGTCTAAGTCTTGTGCAGGACAAAAACATGATAACAATTCCCTCAAAACGACAGTACCTCCCTAGAGCGCAGCTGTCGCCTCATTAGAATAAGGTAGTCTCGCCCATTTCAACTTCGGGATACGGAGTATACTAGCTCAAGCGCTTTTGCAACTGGGTATAGCGCGGAAGCCTGCCCCTACGGTAGGCTCGATTGTATAGTCGAGGCCAGTTCATGCGCAGAAACTGAGGGCATTTGACGAGGCGGTCAAAAAGTGCTCAAGGGTCGTTTCTACGGATCTACGTGGTGGGCGGTGCACAAATCTCTTTCAAAAGCGGGATCTTGAGAAAAATAAAAACGAACTGTTGCTGACACTGTTTACTGCCCCTTTCTCCGGGAATTAAGTCAGATTTCGATCGAAATTGTGTTCCACGGACGGAGTTGGCTTAGCTGTAGCGTTCCTTTTCGTGTTAGGAAATGTTTTTGGAGACTAGTGAGCCGCGTTGGCGAGTAGTGACGAGTTCGCTGCGTCATCTTTCTCCGAATCGAAGTTGTGTCTTCAATAGGCACTTCAAGGCCATCACAATGAGTGATTGAATAAGAATGATTCATCAGCAATCCACTGCATGACGGGGTGGTCTTGTGCTCTAATGAATGATGACAAATCGTTTCTCAAACGAAAATTTTTGGATGAGAACGAATGTGCTTTGATGTTTTCTTATGAAATCTTAGAAATAGACCTGTATGGCCGCGTTTATACCTTGCCCTAAAGAATGGGGATCGGAGAATCGCGATGTTATAAAAATCAGAAAGTCCGCAAATGAAAGCGCAGGAGAATTTACGAGAAATACTTGATACTTTTTTGTCTTAGAATGGGTTTCTTGCTTTGTATGATTGGGCGCGCAGTGATTAGATTTCCTAGGATATCTGACATCCGCGTAACCCCACTTCTTCCTTATTTTTCTCTTTCCTTTTTCCCTTCCTTCTTTCTCTCTTTCCTCCTCCATGTTCAAGTGCTCGGCCAGAAGATGCTAGGAAAATGCCTCTGGATTCTTTCATGTAGTGGGGAGATGGAGAATAGCCAGGAGCCTATGTTTATTTATTTATTTCAACATTGGTCAAATCAATGGATACACTGCTTGTTCTCTGCGGATGCTGATGTATCAGTGTGCTGGATTTGGCGGTGCGCCAGCTCCTTTTCCACCAATAGTTGAAAAGGCTAAGTGACAACAATTGATATTTGCCGTGGAGCCGAACCCCCCGACACGCCCCCGACACGCCCCAGCATTCGGGGCGAAACTGTAAAGAGACAACATACACGCATCAGAAACTGACAAAATCTGGGCGGTGGCAGGGGCATGAAATGATCCCGTTTTCTTCCACTGCTGGCTTCCCTCCCAGACCAATCACTCCTGGTAGAAAACGCAGCCAGAAATGGGCTCATTCTACGCTCCCTGACACCGCCCGGATTTATTGCCACGATATCAGCTGTAGAAAAGGGGCTTTTTTTACCCCACGTCGCTGGAGTATTTCCCTCCTATTACAGTGGTTTAGCGCCATACACGTTTGTGCTGTTAATTTTGATGGAGTCGAACTAAGTCAAAGAACTTTGAGATCTCGTAAAATAAAGTGAAAATCCTCGCTTTTTCTGGGGTTCCGAATATTTGGCTGTTCTTACCAGGGAAGTCCGCCCAACTTACCATGGAATCGATGGAGACCTGGGTAGATCGATAGAGTCTATAAGGTTATTTACAAATATAGATAGCAAAACTGCAACCTGCATTTCACAAGCAACTTATGAGCAGGTAAAGTTTGTAATGGTGTAATGGTAGTTTGTAATTCTTTACCTGCTCATAAGTTGCTTGTGAAATGCAGGTTGCAGTTTTGCTATCTATATTTGTAAATAACCTTATAGACTCTCGATCTACCCAGGTCTCCATTCAAAGTTCCATGGTAAGTTGGCGGACTTCCCTGGTTAGTACTTTCCTCAATGATCGGGATTTGCCTCTTGTGATCATTCTCTGAAGAGGGATGATTAGGAAATCAAAGAAGAGTAAATGGAGCAGGGGCACTGATAATGCAACTCCACTGATGGTCTCGAGTTTTGAGAGCGCTTGTTTCCTTTGATTCAGAAAAGGAATTGTATTACTGTAAACTGCGACTCTAATTCCTCCCTTTCTATTCTATAGTCATTCTATGTATTCGTGGAATTGATTAAATTTTTGTTCTGGTTATTATTCGCAAGAGTGCTTATTCAGAAGGGTCTAATTAATGTGGTAATAAGTGTCCATTCTCATAAAAGTTTTTCAGGTTTGGCCTGAATTCCCGGTTTGATACGGAATTTCCCAGTGAACTGATTGGACGGGTGGCTCCTGAAGAATTGTCTGATACTCTGGGACGGATTAATAATGTTCTGAAACGGCATGTGCAAATGTCTAGGTGAGAAATTCAAGTTTTTTTTAGAAATTGAAAACGAATTCAAAGTTTTGCTTTAGTCGATGGTTGTTGTGCGGTTTGCTGTTTTGTTGCTGTTCATTCGGATGCTCACTGTTTCCTGTTGTCTGCCTTAATAGAAGAGTCAGTTATCCGATTAGCTTTACTTTTTGTTTATTATGAAGTACCTGCCTCTTTTTTACTTTCTAATGCTTCACAGGCATGTTTTGAGAGCAAAAATGGTGGGCAATGGCATTTGAATACTAATGACGAGGCGGTAATTACCTCAGTAGTAGGCAGAAAGCGGTAAAAACCGCTCGCGTGTTCAATATAGGATATCTATAGAATAGAAAACTAGGGCTTACAAAACTTTTTTGTCAAACAGTATAAGCGACCGGCTTTCCCTTAAAAAGCTTACAACGACGAAACGAGAGTTTTACTGAAGAAGAGTAAAGAATACTATGACAAAGTCAAGCTGCCGTGGTCGTAATATTTTTTGTGTGATCTGGGGAAGACTTTCTCTTCTCGTTTATTCATTCTTTTCACTCTACAAGGAAGTCCTTTCGAACTCTTTCTCAACCTTTTAGTGCTTATTTCCGCCTTTGAGCGCTGTTTTTTATACTTTAATTGCTTCGCGTTAGTGCGCAATAGTGCAATAGGCGCATTAAGAACCCATTTCCTCCTCAAATGGCAGTTAAACGTGCTCGAATGCGGTCAAGTATGCATCCATTTCCTTCAGAGTTATATTTCTATGGCTATTCTGTGAGCGAAAATACGTTCTGCTTCAGACAGTGACGGCGGTCGAGAAGACGTTGGATCACGAGAACATATGTCTCTATCATAAACTTGGACTTCATTGGCGCCTGGTGAAACGACCAGTGGACGGTTCACGTTTAACGGAATATGTACTGGAACTTCAAACTCTTCCTAAGGTTCAATTAATGTTGCCGGATTGACATGTGATTTCTGCATTCAAAATTGTCTTTTAGTTTATGATTTTTTTTGCTGTTGCTAAAAAGAGTCATAGCTAAGGGTAGAGCTGATCGAAAAAATGCTCAACCATGGTTTCGCAGTTGAGACGCATTTTCGTACAATGTTGGGATAGATATTCTTTTCCTGATGCGAGGGAGCATGGCGTACTTTTCTGACTACTTGAATATTCAGCAGGAATCGATTTGCGCTTTGAATTTCCGCTGCAAGGTCTTTCTAACGCTTTTCTTTGGGGTGCAGGCTAGCTGTATGTAAATGTATAGTTTGTGAACCCTTCACTTCAATCTGGTTTGATGATCTTCCACTTGGTGGTTACAGGCGATTCTTGAATAATAGCAAATAACAAATTACTCGGGTACAGAATTTCAAATTACGAATTAGTGTTATTCAGCAAGCAAGTCCTCTGAATGCAGTCCCCTCTTTGACGTGGTTTATTCTGGGCTTGCAAGCGGGTCGATCTCAGTAGTGCTGTGCCACTAGTACGAAAACGTAATGCCACAAGTTGAAGCTCTTACCGGCATAATGTGCATTGGGAGGGGTCATTATCCAGTAAGGTTTACCCACGTTATCTTTTGACGAGACTTCGATATGCTGTCCCGGTGTGAGGCTGAAGACCAGCTAAGTATGACGTGGCTCAGCTTGCTGGGAAGTGGCCTCTCCTGAGTCACACAGCGTCGTTTTACCCTGTTATTGGCAGGGCGTACAGTCTGATTTGCCGCGAATGCTGGAGTGTTAAAGGGGTGGGGGTGTGGCGTTAGCTTGTTCTCCTTCAATTACAGAAACCTGCAGGGGACCACAATTAGTGGAGAACTAGCGCAGCGCCAAACACAGCCCCCTGAACCGTCCGGCGTCCGCAGCGAACCAGACTGTATATATGCTTTTTCCGATCGGGAGCTGGTAACTTGCTGACTTCGAAAACTCTGTGATACCGGTTATGGTAGCATTGAGAAGCAGACTCTAGTAGAAAATGGAAACTTCTCCATTCTCACCTTCGTCTCGCAGGAACTGAATATAAAGGACTTAGTCAGACGCGTCTACGTGACACTGGTTCTGCTGAAGCAGTTCTAAGTCATGTCAATAGCTGAGAAGTTTCAACACATACTGTGCATCAAGTAACCAGGTGGTGCAGCACCCGTGAATAATCCTCAGATAATGCGTGCAACCGAAGTGCAAGGCATGCGAGCTCAGAAAGAAAAAGCGGAATAATGAACCTGGCGCTGGATCTTTTCTGGCTTGCCCATTATGCTGCCTTACTGCAATATTTAAGTTTTCTTTTATAGCAGAAAACTGGCAGCATACACTCTTGTTCGCTGCTAATGCAGAGGGGCGGGGGTTAGTGCGGCGCAAGGCAGCTTTCCAGCAATTGTTGTTGCTTGTTCACTTCAACAATTGGTGGACAACGAGTTGGCGCAGCGCCCCCAGCCGCCCTGGCACGTCGCAGTATCCGCTGCGAACAAAACTATAATTCTCACAGCAAGGCATTGTACAGGGCAAGCGGGCATGATTTTGGGGCCATTGTCTACATCCATTTTTCATTTTTGGGCTGCATGGCATTTGTGAGTTACTCGTTTTTCTGAGTCGCTTTGGGAACTCCCAAGGTTCTGCCCCGTGATATGGCTTTTATATGTGTATGTAAGCATGAGGATTCCAGGTGTTGAGCTTGTTACGGTATGTTGTCGTTTATATGAGTTGGTAGATATGGAAAACTGATAAGATTGCTAGACTCGCATGAGGGCGAGTCTCAGGCATTTGGTGTGAGTTAGTTGGTTGTAGTCAGCTGCACATGACTGCAATTGAACGTAATTGATCACGTTATTATGGCACTTTTTGTTCATTAGGCGTTGTGATATGGTATTGAGAGCCTTGTGTATCAGTATATCTATCAACACCTGTCTATTTGGTACATTCGCGAGAAAAAGGCAAATATTTTTACATAGTCTATGTCGTAGTGTTCGATGTAATTGTTTGACATTCATATCTAATCGGTGTAGACCTCGCTGAATATGTAATTTGTAGAAGTGAAATATTCTCCTCATCCCGGAGATAGAGTAGGCTGGCTGCGCACTACACTCGAACATGGATCAGGATGTGTTTTTCGTGAAATGGTTCATGTTTTAAGACACGTATCTTTCCATGCTTGTGCTAAGCAAACACTGACTAAACAACGCTTGCAGCCACGTCCCACCTCATACACTGGATATTCCACGTAATTCTGCTAGAATTCCAATTGTAAAGAAAAAAAATGATATGGGTAGTGAAAAGCTATTAAGAAATGTATTTGTGTGTTGGTAGATGCATCTAAATGAGATCACCTTATCAATTTGTGCGGTGCAGAGATAATCACGAAATGTGCACTTGCAGAATGTGATGTGAGTCAAAAAGCTTTAGAAGTAACCAATGTGTATTGTATTGTTGTTCGGTTACATTGTATACAGTGATTTAATCCGATGAAAATTTCTAAATTTAATAATGTGGCGTAGTCTCTGTTAACTGGTGGAATTCCAGGAACCATACTTGGTATGAATTAACCTTTTTCTTGGTCAGCAGTAATTAGATAGTAAACGGTTCGGTGGTAGTGGCAGTTTCCTCATCTTCGCTGCTACACTAATCCTGGTAACAAAAGTCTCAGGGTACATTCAGACTTTGCTTCGGCTTTTTGAGCGACTGGGAAAATATAGATATCGATCAGACGTTTTTGAACGTAGCCCTGTTTTTCTGGAGTTGGCCTTCAGGACCTTTATGAACTACTGACTGATATGCGTAACCATAGGGCAATATTGAGCAATGTGATCCTCTGACCCTTAAGTACGAGAAGTATGTAGATCACTCGATGCGTGACCGTCTCCTGTAGTTGAGGGGCACGCGCTAGATTAGTTCAGCATTCATACACGACGTCACCTGAGCACGAGACCACCCCGTCTCGACGTACCTAAAGATACTTCTTCCGTGACTATATTTTGTTTCTACCTGCAACTACAACGAGACCACTCCGTCTCTTCAACAAAGTTACATAAACCTACATATACTCCAGGTTTTCTGCGGCTGCTAACGTTCAAAACGCTGTATCACTACCAATGTTTTTCTAGTCGCTCAAAATGTGCCTTACGCCCAGAATGTTGTCGCAAAGTATTAACGCAGCTTTACTCTGGTGAAACCTATGAACTCGTGTTGACAAGTTGTATCTACAAACAGGTGCTTTTAGTTTTCAAGATTTCGCAAGTCTACTTGATGGCCCGGCGCGTCGATATAGGAAGTAGCGAAAGTGCTGAATGCCCCCTCACCGCTGACACGCTGAAGTGACATTTCGTTTTCCATAAAACTGATTCAGTAAGCGTCGTTAGTTGATGGTTTCGACACTATTATTATACATTTTTTTGGTGGGGGAGTAGAGCGCGGGTGTGTTTATATGTCCGAGTTTAAAGTACAATGCCTCACATTGCTGTGAGTTTCAATCTCTGTCAATGGTAGCACCGGGGGTTTATTGATCGTCTAGAGGCGTGGGGGTACTGAGAATTCTACACAGCTCACGTAGATCGTAAAGCTGCTAACACTAACTACACGGCCACGGTGCATTGCAAGCACGACACACGTGGCACTAGCCAGAGTTTTCCGAAATACACCCGCCCCTGCCCTTTTTTCCAGAACGCTGCTCTGGGCGCTATACTTTCTCAGCCTATCTCGATTCTGGACAGACTTTACCGGAATTTCGTCATCGAGAGCGAGGTAGACAGCTTCGATCATCTATCACAAATAGTAGTTTTGCGAACATCGCCGACCGGGGCAATGGGTGGGGTTTTAAATTTCAGCCTTGTGCGACCGCGGCCTGCGTGCCAGTTGAGGTACAGTCCTCATCATTGCGGACCGGTGGGGCGTGGCAGTGCGGCTGCGTTTGGTGCGGTTTGGCAAAGTCGTTCTGCACCAGTTTTGAAGCGGGCAAGTGCATTACTGTATTATATCCTTCGTATTACTCGTTTTCTACCACTTTTTGTCGCATACGCGTTGCAACAAAAAAGGCTGAGAACGGCTTCAAACAGTGTGCGCACTCCTTCTGACACCATCCACTCCACTCCGCCCCACCGGTCCGCAATGATGAGGACTGTACCTGCGGAGCTACAGTAACCTCACGCCTAGTTCCATTACTCGTTGGGGACGTAGCATCTTAATGAATTTTGGTGATTATGATTAAAGAGTGACATCTACGAGTATTTTTCAGTCCTAGACTCTTCCTGTGCAGTAGCCTCATGGGCGTTTTTGAGGAAGGAAGCGGTATCATTAACCGAAAGGTACCTCTAATTCACATAGGCGTAATTTACATTCGCATAAAGGGCTCCCACGGTTTCTCCACATTTGCGTAATTTACATACGCATAAAGGGATCAAACGCATTACGAAGTAAAAAAAATTAAAAGAAGCAAGTACAACAATACTAGTCTAATTCTTCCAAACATAACAGTTGTCCCTCTACAGAGGTCCCTCTTGAAAAAGTCACATAAAATGTAGTAAAGCATAGAGTGATGAGTGAGCTACATGAATATACATAGAGTACTCCCAACCAAGGATTGCTCCCACGGTTTCTCCACGTTCCATATTGTTTGGGGAGCGTGGCAACAAGTCTCCGGTTTATCCAGCCGCACTTTCGCCTCTCGCCGTGATCATAATAGTCAGGTACTCGCCAAATCGCTGGTCTAGAAAGTGGGTTGAGCAAAACGGTAATAAAGAACCACAGTAACTTTACAGGACATGTTTACCGTTCCCAAGAAGAGATATACCGTTTCCGTGTTGATGGTGACCCGTCCTCTCGGCAGACTTGTAGGGCTTCCCATTGTTTGCGCCCCTGCGTAACTTGAAAATTTTTGCCGAGGATACATTTGTTGTTTTGTTTTTCTTATTCCAGTCCGCTCCACAAAAATAAGCAGCTGCAATCAGTCATGAACTATGGCGCATTCGCAGTAGTACAAGTGCTCTATCACACAACCGCTATCTTTTCACATATATTAACAGAATAACACATAGATTCCGCTATCCTGGCCCTTCGTGCTTTGATTTGGGAATTATGACGAAGAGGAAGGAATCCAAACAACTGTATCCCACTACGCTGAAGTGTGGACTATTCCACGAAATCCTTCTCGACATTGAATAAAATTAGGCGTGAGGTTACTGTAGCTTCGCAGTGTACGCAATGGCCGCAGCCGCAGCTGTGCGAAAGAATGGCGCCAACGCTAGTCGAAATCTCCGCGGTTGTGAAAAGTGGAGGTAGAATGTTAATAGTGCCAACAGCGCTTCACTGTGACTTCAGATGTGTTTGTCTAGGGTGCTCTGCAAATTTTTCATCTTTCTAGGATAGCGCCGTGTTCTTTTGTAACAACTGCATTTCACTTAATCCTCTCCTTCACAAGTTGATGTAAAAGTAGTTGCTGATGACTCAGCTAGCAATCGTGGAGTTGTTGGAAACTGCCAGATTATAACACTCTACAGTGACTATTGGTTTGTCATCGTTGGTCAACAAGTAGTTTTCACATTCCTCACAGCCAGGTCTATAAGATAGGCGCTTTTGAGGACTTCTTTATATGCAAAGGAGAAAGCGCGTTTCTAAGCTCTAGACGGTTTAATACTTTTTGTGCTAACAATTGATTCGATGGCCTTCAAAAATCGTTTATACACTACGTCAGCTTTTGAGCGTGCGCCAGCGTATGTTAGCGTTTCTAGCTGCCAGGAAGGTACACAGTTCTCATCATTGCGGACCGGTGGGGCTTGTCAACCAGCATTGAGTGTGTTCTCAGCCTTTGCTGAAACGCGTATGCGGCAAAAAGTGGTAGAAAACGAGTAATACGAAGGATATAATACTTGCCCGCTTCAACAACTGGTGCAGAACGACTTTGGCACCGCGCCAAACGCAGCCGCACTGACCCGCCCCGACAGTACGTAATGATGAGGACTGTATGTAGTGATATAGCGTTCATAGCGTTACGCTGGATCGAGTATTTTCCTCGGTACACGAACGGTGGCGTATGCTGGCGTCACTCAGAATGCTTCCCTTAATCGAATAGAGTGTGTATTTGTGCTATTATTAATCGAAAAATCATGTTTTTGTTGCTGTTTCTTGAATCTATCCGATTGACTATTTCTTTTCGTATTTTTTGAAGTGATTTTTACAGGTCATATCACTTGTTTTCGCAATGAAAGCGGTATGTGACAGCATATTCGTAGATGTTTTCGGGTGGGCAAAGATTTGTAGAGCTGGGTTTGACTGAAATATTTCAGATGTCGAAGAATATAAAAACGCCTACAAATCAAAAACTGCTCACAAACGTGGCAGTAGTGCGTATGAAGAAAATGGGTAAGCGTTTCGAAATCGCTTGCTATAAGAACAAAGTTGTCAACTGGAGAAACAAAACGTGAGTGTTTTGAGACGTTTGTTGTTCTGTGCACTTGTGGTTGGTTCTTCTTCTTGTTTCCCTTCCCGTTTTCCGAGCAAAGACCGCCACTTTGGGCGATCTAGATCTAGGGGATCATCTTTACATGGGTGGCACAATATACATGTCCAATTTACAAGTGAATCGTGGCATCGATTACGTGCAAGAATCAGGGCACCTGGTCAAAGCCTGAGGTTTTTAAAAGCGACTGGAAGATGCGTTCTGGACCTAGGTACTTCAGGCGGAGTTTGGCTGACAGCGGGAATCATTCGAACTTCTGTATACTACGAATCAGTTAAAGTTTAATCTTCAAACCACTTTTTTGCTCAGATCAGTTTACCCACTTACAGTTTACACACCACACGGGCCCTTCCATCCGTGCATGGACAAAAAAAATAGCCATTCGCCTCTCCTTGAAATCGCTTCTTCTTTCCCTCTCGCCCTAGACGCTTTCCATATTAGAAAAAAAAACAAAGAAGAGATGGCGTGGAAATGAAGATCGTATCATTCCATAGCTTTCTATGTTTACGAGTCTTCACAAATTAGGCAAAATGGAATATGTCTTGTTTCCATCCACTTTTGCCTAACGGGCGCAACGGAAAATCGTCTCGCGAGTGCTGTGCGAAACCTGCTGTCCCATCGGTGGATAGGTTATGAGAAACAGGTGCAGTTCGGCTTGGTAGGGTCTTTTGCTGGTCCCCATCTGTCACTGCAGATATCTGCTATGAAGACCTGCAAAGCTATGCACTAGCAGGAGCCTTACACTCGGCAAGTGTCTTAAGGTCCTAAGGTGAGGCGTATAATGAAACATAGCAAAGTTGGCATGCCCTCCCCTGGCTTTCGGGTTACCCCGCCCTCTCTTCGGAGTAGCGCTAGAAACGCCCGTGCCTGGTTGAGTGTTTGATGGTGATGGGTTGCGTTCGATACCAGCAGACATAAAAAAAGACAAAGTTTCCGTCGATCACCCAGTTCTTCGGCCATTCCGCCATCATCAGCCTTTCGCAATGTGGCTAGCGTCCAACTTTTATTCAAAATCGCAGTGTAGGAGGCAGAAGTTCGAATGCGATTTGGCTTAGCAGTGTTAAAGTCAGTGTTTTCATCCTGTCAGACAGATCTGGTGCCGAGTCGCTGTCCTCGAAGGGTAGAAGGTATCGTTGTGCTGGTTGGTATATATGAGATATGACCCCCGGACCGGCGTGGTAAGGCAGGCCATTTGCCAGTACGCTCCCTTTTCTTGCCTCGCTACATTTTCGTTATCATGTGTTAATGCGTTATTGAATTGTAATATTTGCCGCATCTTTGATCTTGCTTGGTGGTCATCAACTGCATCGGAGTCCAGAGCTGCTATTATTAGTGGCTTGTTTACAGAGAGAAGAATATTGATGAAGTACTTCAAACTCATACCGCTATTCACAAGATGTTCCAAGGACAAGTGCACAGAAAGAGCGAGTTTTGGCAGCAGCGTTTGGCACTGGAGGATCAGCGTCAGAGATTTGTAAAATTGTAATGTATGTTACATGTTGCCATTATGCATTGTCTCAAAGTGCGTCCGAGGAGTTCTGGCAGAAGTGATCAGATCAACCTTTGAGATCATTTTGGAAACTATCTAGCCATTGTCTAATGACAATGATATTCCAGATTCTGGAAAAAGGTGATTTGCAAGTATCTGACAAGGAACGCCAAGCGCAGACCGATCAAACAATACAAGAGGTGCGCTTTCTTTTTCACTGCTTTTCCTCATTCTTTTATTTTTCTGATTTTTTTTGTTTTTCTTGGACTGCGTTTTTCGGACGAGCCGATATGCGAACATTATCTTTTTTGGGTTTAGAATTGTATCGTGATATTGTGGATATTTTTTGAGTGTACGTGGTTGATTATTAGTGTTCTGTACCCCATACCTTCCGTTCCCCGCCTTCTCCGTTTCGCGCCCAACGCTATCGCTTATGTGGCAGGCACAATTGCGGTAATTATCAAGGATTCGTCGGCAGCGGAAAGGCACGCGCGTTATTCACTAAAGAATTTATCTTAGTAAGGCACACTAATTAAGTCTTATTGCATTTGTGGTTGTTGTTGTGTGGTGTTGTCGTGTTGTGTTTGCTGTGCTATTGTCTCACAACTGATGGTTCAGATGTGTGCAAGTACTTGCGTCGGGTATCATCTTACCGCCCAGCTCGTTCCTGTAATCTAATTTGTTGCAGGTGTTGTTACGGTAATAAATGCAGCCGTGCCATACAGCTGTGGACCCATTCACTCTCGTATTAAGTGATCGTTGCTTGATGGTGTTGTTCTGACTAGTCCGTTTTCCATAGCCGTACTTAGTATGCCTTTTTGATAGGGGTCATTCCTTAGAACCTCGCGTTATTGCTGATTCATGCACGATGGAACGTTGAAAACCTTGTGGCTACTGTTACTAGTGTGAAATTATTCACAGCTGCTTTGAGCGTAATGAGGTCAAATGCCCTAAGATACGTTCTATACTCGTAATCGTGTAATATTGTTGGTTTGATATCTATGATGTAGGATATTGTGGTTAGTTGATGATCTTGTGTTAGCTCTGTCACTTTCATGATGATTTTCGCAAGAATTTACTTGTGGTCTTAATGGTAGGTATCACAGCTGATCGCTGAAATGGTAGTGAATCCAGATACGAAACGTCCAATACCCACATCCGTGATCGACAAAGCCCTTCATGAACTTCATTTTTCATTGAAGCCTAACAGAAGCGCAAAACAACAGGTGAATTTTGTTCTGTTTCAGAGAGTGCTCGTCAGAATTTTCTGTATTTTTCAACTGTTTAGGCGTTGGAGGCGATACCCTAAACTCCGTGAAGCCATTCGTCTAGAGCGTGCAAAGATGAGAATTCGCATAGCAATGCCATCGCATGAGGCTAAAATCACGCATTCACGTCTGAAGGCCCTTTTCTCGGATTTGGAACTAGAAGATTGGGCCGAGGGAGGACTCGAAATGGTGGGTTATTTCTCGACGGTTCGTTAGGACAGAGAACACCGAGTTGTTATTGAAGGCAGCGTCCGCGATCAACCAAAGTGAAAAGAAAATGTGCAGAAATCCACTCTCGCGGCTCGAAATCGACTGGTTGACGAGGGCGGAGTCAACAGAGCCGGGCTGACGCCTCCTGTCCTGTTAATCCCGCGCCCCGACTGGTTGACAGTTATCACTTGCAATTTGATAAACGCTTGATCTAGAGTTCCGAGGCGGCGACGTGTATTGGAGAACTCACCAGAAGTTTGCGAAACTCGTCCACATGCCTTAAATTTCATAGGGTCTTATTTCACGCTCTTCCACACCTTTTTCCTGCTTTTTTTGATTAATGCTTCATTGGCCACCTGTTCTAGCAAATGTGACCCCTGAAACCTGCCAAAGTCCATCGCGGGCGCTGTCTTTAAACACTTGCGTGTTATCTTCATTACTCGAGCTCAAGTTCGACTTCGTCACAAATATTTCAAGGCGGGCGCAGATGCACGAAGCTTTATTTTTCCTGAGAGGGTGACAACTCGAGCTAAATAAGCGCATCTGTTTCTAGAGAAGTTTTCGAGATGAAATTTAGAGTCGTTTTTCCTTATCGAGCTAAATAAGCGCATCTGTTTCTAGAGAAGTTTTCGAGATGAAATTTAGAGTCGTTTTTCCTTATCGAGCTAAATAAGCGCATCTGTTTCTAGAGAAGTTTTCGAGATGAAATTTAGAGTCGTTTTTTTTCCTTAAAGCCACATTTGAACAGAAATTTCGGGTTTTTTTTTACTGAGCCTTCCAAAAAGGCGTTCGGCTTCTGGGTGGAAACTGATCATTCTGCAAGCAGGATTGGGGATGTAACTGACAGTTAGCCTGTCAGTTTCCTTTCGAAGTCCACTCAAAGGTCAATCTGTCAATCAAAATAATGATACCGTTTTCTCTCATTTTTGGGTCCAGTTCGGCTTGATGCGAGCAGCAGGTGATATCCAGCGGGGGCTTCTACAAGCCAGCTCTGAAGACTTGTGAATTTCTGTAAATTGGATCACTTGCACCATTTCGCAGCTTCTAGAGGGTATACAAGTGTTAACTTGTAAGTTAACACACACTAACAAAAGGAACTAGCAAAAAAGCAAAATGCCTCCTCCAAACGCGAACAGCGCCGATTTTTGTTAGCCAGTTGCGAAAGCCAGCCCTCAATCCCGCCTGTATAGTCTAAGTATACCCTAATTACTGCTGGTATAGATTTGGCATATTTTCCCTGCCTTTCGAATTGACTTTCTACACGCACGACTTCAGGTTGGTCTTATTGAACCGGGCAGCTTTCGAGCGACAGACGAGCTGGTCCGTAACGAGAGCAAAGGCCATGGGAGACTGGAAATCCTCAGCTTGAAGGAAGTGCGTGAGGGAGAGGTGGAGATTTCTTAAACGGAACTATTGACTTTCTTTTATTTCGTATTCCTTGTTCTGTTTCTGACTGCTTTTCTTTCTTTTCTTTTCAATAGGCAGCGAATGTGCTGCGGGGTAACTCAACGGTGCCAATTATTTGGTGACGAGAATTCATTTTACACATCTGGAGCACATTTTATTGAATGGTGGTTTTTGTTGTTTCTGTAAAGCATGTATAGCATCGTTTTACTGCTTTTGTTGTGTTCATTCTGTTGAGAGAATATGTAACAGTTGTTCCGTTAATAAATTATCTAACAACCTTGGAGTCGAACTTTTTCACTCGAAGCTTGCACTGTTTATCAGAAGAGGTTTGTAATAACCGTAAAAGGAGTCGGTGATTATAGAAAAGTTAGGTGGATCCTATTTTTCCCAAGGTTAGGCTACATTCTGACCGAAAGTTCTGGGTACATGAGAAGACAATCGTGATGTGCCCGCGCTGGTGGGCCTGGACGGGGCGAGCGACGCCGCGACCAACAAAAGCCTGCCTGACCACTCGAAGTTCAGCGCTAGAGAAGCATCCATCATGAAGTCTTGTCTCCGCTAGAATTCATATGAGTTCTGCAGCTCCAATGGACAGACTGGTGCACGCTTGCCGCGCATTACCGTACGATATTTCCGGGCCACGGTCAATTTGTCCGGACCTTTGTCCTTTCGAGGTAATTTGACCTCCAAGCAAAACTATCACCTACGCTTGCAGCGAAATCCACGGCAGAGGCCAGTTTTCGTGCTGCCCTATCAGCCGCTTTTGCATGAAACGATTGTGACATTAGTGTTCAGAGATTCAAAGTACCCTACGAACAATGCGATAACCAAATCCATCCCCGGGATATTTTTTTATTGAGGTCTCTCATTCATTCCGTCAGAATGTTCACCTTTTCTTGCCCCGTTTTTCGATATTTGACCCAAATTTCGAAAAACGGGGCAAGAAAAGGTGAATAGTGATCTAATTAGTTTACAGAAGAACGGCATAACAAGAACCAGGGGAACAATACACAGTTCTCCTATTTCATTTCGTCTAACGAGTTCTTCAGTGGTCACCAAGATGAAATGATCGTTTCTGTTGCTGCTGTTGCTTATCAACATTCTAAAGTTAAAGGCATGGTCCATGCTTATCGAGCGGGTGGAGACCGAGAACCATTTTTAGCACGGTTCGGCTTCTTAGGGGCACCAAATGCTACTCCACGAAATGAGATGGAGAAAACCCAAGCAAGCGGGAAGATAGAGGAAACATCGGTTCGACTGCAATGCCAAAATAAATTGTACAAGTCCCTTAAACTTAACGAGAACCGAAATGTGTGCAAGTGTGGTTGCTGTACATAGGGAGTCTTCAAAGGACGTTTCTAGCGTTTTCCTGCCTTAAAAGTTTGGGAATCCCTGCTTTTCTTAGGAGTACCATAATATGCCAGTAGCGCTGCAGTTGAAGGCGCTTCGTAGACAAACGTAAGGCTGCGTTCATACTCTGAGGTAGCGTCTGCCACATACCAGTAGAGAGTGTGGGGAAGTAACAGGGAGGAGACATCTCGATTAGGCGTCGTGAAATTGTGGCATGCGCTACCGCACCGTACTACTACACAATGCGTACTCGTTGTGCTCGATGGCCGCTGCTAGATGATGCTCATCGATATTCATACCCTATTCATCGAGACGCTGACGGTCGCTGGCTAACGCCGGTGGACACTGGGAGATGGCTGCCGTTAGCTATATCGATCTAGCTACACTTCATTAGTAGCTGAGCTGATGGACGCTCGAAACGCAGCTGATCGCTGGTGACGCTGCCGCGAAATATGAATGCAGCCTAAATCCTACAACTAAAACCACGGTGGTGGACCTATCTCATCTTCTGAGATTAACCCGTACTCAAAAAGCCAGTGTGATCTTTTTCAATGCTGCGCTCGTCCTAAGTACTAAGACGGACAAATACACATTGTTTATTAAAAAAACAACACAAATCAACAGGTTTTTCACCCCTGCTTTGAAAACAGCCCACCAATTAGACCAAGCTACTTATACTTTAGTGAATCGACCATCTCGGATCATTCACCACCATATCTGCCTTTTGTACCATGTTTCAAAATCCTTATATAGTTCTTCAGTTTTCCTCGCCCTCACGATATATGCTGTGTGTGTGTTGTTCTTTGCTTCAAAATGGTACAGTTCGACCACAACAGCCAGAGCACTAGCTCAACAGCTGGTCAATGCAACGAAAACATACCATAGTTGGGTGGATTCGCATTTGGATCGTAACCAAGCCGTCGCAACATTGGCGCTATGGTTTCCATTTCTTTTACAACATCTTCAGGTATTTCTCCTACCCATTTTGACAACGCATCTGTATTTACGGGTTCGACCATCTTAAAAGCTAGCATAAGATTCAGCGCATGTCCGCGTGAAGAGGAGGGATATTGTTCACTTCTATTAAATATCGGACTACTTTGTAAAGTCATGTAAACTCCTGTGAACAGTACATGGCACGCATATTTGCAAATGAAGAATCCCTGCTAGACCGAAGTAGCTCCGATCGGAAAGGAATCGAGCTAGTCTTATATTGGGCTGTATTGGGCTTAAACCTGGTCTACCGCTGGATGCGGGAAACTTGTATAGGAATGATGACTTTGTTTTCTGTGAGAGCAGTATCAGGAAACAAGCGGAATAATTGAGAGAGGTAGGTAACGGAGTGTAGAATGATTCATCCAGGTCATCCACTCCCACTGGAAACCACTTTCCCTT